GTCCACTGCTGTGGAATATCATGTACGATGGCCTATTGAGATTGAAATTGCCAAGAAGTGTAAGACTCGTAGCGTATGCAGACGACGTAGCCGTAGTAATCGTCACTAAACACCTTGACGAGATTAACAACATGTTCGACATCACCTTCGAGCGAGTCCATCGGTGGATGAATACGGTAAACCTGCATCTGGCTACACACAAAACTGAGGCAGTGCTTATATCCAGCAGAAAAACGTTAGAGACCATCAAGCTGAAAGTCGGCGAACAAGAAATCACATCACAACCTTATATTCAATATTTGGGAGTGATGCTTGATGCCCGTCTCAACTTTAAACAGCAAGTGGAACACGCCAGTGCCAAAGCGTCAGTAGTGAGGGCTAGTCTCGCACGACTGATGCCGAACGTCGGAGGCCCAAATCAGAGCATGAGACTACTACTATCATCAGTTGTCACATCGGTGCTCACATATGGAATATACATTTGGGCAGACGCGCTAAAGTTGCAAGAATCATGAAGAAAAGCTAGACCAGTATATCGACTGAGCACTGTAAGACTAGCTAGTGCATTCCGCACGATATCAGAAGTAGCAGTGTGTGTCATTTCAGAAACTTTGCCACTTAGAGTTCTAGCTGAGGAAAGACGGAACCTTTACCAATAAAAGAGGTCAACCATACTAAGTGCCAAGGAACTTAGAGCTGAAGAACGGCAGAACAGCATCGCACGATGGCAATCGCAGTGGGACGCCGCGACAACAGGAAGATGGACACACCGTCTCATACCGAAGATCGACGTTTGGCTAAACCGGAGTCATGGCGAGGTCAATTACTATCTGACGCAGATGTTGTCAGGACATGGATGTTTTCGGACGTATCTTCACCGCTTCAAGCATGATGATTCACCGGAGTGCCCGTCCTGCCCAGGAATCAATGAAGACGCGGAGCACGTTTTCTTTGAGTGCCCACGATTTTACCCACAGCGAGATGAGCTGGAGATAATCCTGAAGAAGAAAATCCAACCAGAGACAATAGTAGAAGCAATGCTGTCATCAGAGGCTGCCTGGAACGCCGCAAACACGTTTGCAACAGAAGTCCTTATAGACTTGCGTTCCATCGAAAGAAAAAGAGCAGATGACAACAACTAGAAGAAAGGTAAAATAATACCTTAGTTACCAGAAGGAAGAGCAGTCACTATATCCTCCCCCTACGAAGTAATGCTTAACGGCGGTTTCCATGAGGGATTAGAGGAAAGAGGAAAGGGGTTTAGGGTTTAGTGGGTAGGGGCGTTAGTGTAGAGTTTTAGTATGACGCTGCGTCGAGTCGCCACATATCCAGGCCAAACAACTACGCCTAGAATCCGTAAAAAGGATTCCCACCCCCCCTAAGGGGGAAAAAAACACACACACACATACATACAGACATAGTGATAACCTCGCGGGGATAGTCAGGGAAGCTTTCTATGACCTTAAAACGTCGAGATCTGATGAAAACTCGATTTTTGCAAAACGGGGTGAAAACAATAACTTCCCGATTTTTGAAAATCTGAGATTTTTAGCGGGAAGTTAAAAATGGTCTGAAGGTATGCAATAGCTTATATTAATTTAATTTTACAGATTACAAATTATAATCAAATTTTTATACCGCAATATACAAGTCGTTCTTTTTCTTCAAAATGTTAACAAATGGGAAAGCAAATATCTATGAATATTTTAAGAATTTATATACAACTTAATGCATACAGTATGAAATTAAGATTGGCAACAAATTAGCTATACATCATTTTTTACGTCGATTTTATACTGTGTAAATAGATTTACTATAGAACTATATGACCGAACTTTAATAAAAAACAATAGTAAAAATAGTTAGTTAGCTCACCTCACTATCATGACGCCAGATCATCGTCGGAGGTGGATCTGGAGCATATTTGACCAGACACGTTAAGTTAATAGTGCTGCCTTTATTAACATAAAGATCGGGTTGACCAACTATTATAGTAACCGGTTCTGCAACATATTTATGCAAATTACACGAGCTATAAAATCACATTTATGGATTAAGATTAGTTTATTTTCATTTACTTTCTCTATCGAGCAGTAATAACCTTTTTCTAACTATTTAATCAATTTATAAGTTTGATGTAATTTCATGATATTGACTTAATTGATACTTTAGTATTTGGCATCAGTCTTGAATTTTTTCGTAAAGTCTATTGAAAATCCTCATTAAACACAACGATCAAACAGTATTCGTTTTTTTTTTAATCATTTAAAGCAATTTGAGTATATACATCATGTATAACTTCTGATGAACGTTCAGCATATGAGGAATCATTTTTAATTCTTTCGTTTTTTCAGGAAAAGTGCTAATCATAAAGACCGTAAGTTTCTATGAGTAAAACCGGAAAACAACAAATACTTTCAAGAATGGCTTCTTATTACTTGTAGCCCCAATCTGGATACATTGACAGTGTCGTAGTAGAACAAATTTTTTTATATCAAAGCCTTGTCAATTCTTAAATACTTATCTATATCAATGTCTCGCGAAATCTGTATTCTTTCTAATCCTTTAGTGGTTCACCAGTAAAAAATTGTGAGAATCCAAAGCCAAGTACTGAAGGGTTAAGAAAGTTTTTTACTTAATAATCTAATATAATCAATCTTACCAACTATGGTTAAATACACAGGATGCCCAATTGGTGGAGTAGTTGATATTTGGCATTCGTAGAAACCGGAATCTTTTCTTTGTGGATAACGGATTTTAAGGGTCCACTCTTCAGTATGTGGATAATGCTGGGCCTCAAATCGTTGGTCACTCGTATAGGTATATCGTCCCACGGTTAATAAGTGAATATCCCGATGTCTCACCCAGGATACCTGTCAATAACCACAATCAATTGAAAGAAAGATTATGTTCGCAATCTAGCTGTCATTTTTCATACTCTGTACTTCAGGAATATGCTTCAGATAAGTGTAACAAAACTTAACACTTAATGACGTGATTGGGGTTTATATCTTATAATAATGCTTTTCGAATGTGTTTAAAATCTTAATCGGAAAGTGTATGATAGAGATTATATACACAGTAATCAATTAAAAGGATGTCATTTTATTGATCGTACCGACCCCCACGAGAAAAACTTATAATTAGAATATAAAAAAATCAGGAAAACGGTTGACCCTGAAGGACATCTCTGCAACTTCCCGCCAATTCCATACCTAAACGCTTGAAATTACACTTATAACGTTTCTGAGATCTTCGAGCTCAAAAATACAATGGGTGTATTATTTTGAGCTCTCCGAGCTCAAAGAAATAGCTTTTGTATGCTCTTCGAGCCCAAAAGTCTGATAGCAGTTGATAATACACTATATTTCAAATTTTCAAACCGCAATAACTTTTGAATGAATGAACCGATTTTTGCGCGGTTAGGGGCATTCGGCGCAGTTTTTTAAGCCTCATCAAGGATCTTTAAGTTTAATTTGATCGAACCAGGAATTTCGGAGTAATTCCGAAAAAACACTTTTTTCGGTTTTTTTTCAATGATAAATCACGAACGAATCAACCGATTTTGATCGGGCCGGCAGCAATCGACATGGTTTTTTGATGTTAAGAGCTGATTAGTTTTTAGAATCGATCGGTAGAGCCGTTTAAAAGTTATTCCAAAAAAATCACTTTTAAAAAAATTTTTTTTGTAGTTTTTTTGAGATTTCTCAAAATCTACCAGTCCGAATCGGTCCAAACTGTATTCAAAATCTAAGTTCAGTCAAGCTCTTTCGAATGGTGCCAACCGCGATAAAAACGGTCAAGCCACACACACACATACACACACACACACACACACACACACGCACACACGCACGCACACACACACACACACACACACACACACACACACACACACAATCGTGTGAAAACGAAACATCGTTTGAACACGATGTTTATAATTCCTACCATGATTGCATATTTATGTTCGTTAGTAGTAATACTTTTAAAAATAATAGCGATGCCAAGGGTTTCCCTTGAATTTAAAAATTCTTGATCAAAATAAATATAATTTTTTTTTTTGAAGTGAAACTTCTTTAGAGTCGTTGTGGTTTCGAACTCGATGAAACGAAAAAATAAGTCCATAGAGACACAAACACATAAATGTATAGGATTCAGCCGGCGAGAGAATGAGATAGAACACATTAGACGTTCTCGGTCTCCTCTTTGTGCGACTCTTCGTAGCATCCCCACTATCATCTACTGTTTGTCTATATGTGTACTCCTGTGTAGTGGGATAGTCAGTATATCTATATCTATATCTTGCTCCAGTTCCGTGCGTTCTACGTGTTTATGTTAGTATGTGTTTAATACATGTGTTTGCGCCTGCGTATGTGTAAGCTTTAATATGAAGCAAGCGTGTTGATTGTTGAGATGCATTTTTATTTGTGTGAATATTTTGATCTCCTTAATTTTACAATTATGCCAAAAACTACCAGATCAAAAACAGTAATTGACGCTGTTTTCCAAAGATGGTTATTATTTACAAGTGGGATCAATCCAAGCTAAGCCATGTTAATTTTTAACTTCCCGCTAAAAATCTCAGATTTTCAAAAATCGGGAAGTTATTGTTTTCACCTCGTTTTACAAAAATCGAGTTTTCATCAGATCTCGACGTTTGAAGGTCACAGGAAGCTTCCCTGACTATTTTTACGATGATGTCCGTACGTTTGTACGTTTGTATGTGTGTGTGTGTGTGTGTGTGTGTGTTTTTCCCCTGTAGGGGGGGGGGGAATCCTGTTTACGGATTCTAGGCATAGATGTTGGCCCGGATATGTGGCGACTCGACGCAGCGTCATACTAAAACTCGACGCTAACGCCCCTACCCACTAAACCCTAAACCCCTTTCCTCTTTCCTCTAATCCCTCATGGAAACCGCCGTCAGGCATTACTTCGTGAGGGGAGGATCTAGCTACTGCTCTTCCTTCTGGTGGAGTGTGTGTGTGTGTGTGTGTGTGTGT